CACTTGTATTTACCCAAGAAAAGTGAAGGCGTATGTCCACACAAATACTGAATCTAAATATTTCTAACAGCTTTATTCGTAATCACCAAAAACTCAAAACAATCCAAATGTCCATCATCTGGAAAATGTACACAAATTGTGATACAATCAGACAATGGAATTCTACTCAGCAATCAAAAGGAATAAATAAATGCAGCAACATGGATGAACCTCAAAAGCATTAAGCTAAGTGGAAAGAAGCCAGTCTCACAAGAGTGATATGATATTCTGGAAAAGGCAAAGCTAAGGACAGAAATTAGACCAATGGGCAAAGGCTCATGGTAGGGACAGGGAACTGACTACAAAGGGCCACAAGGGAACTTTTGGAGTGATGGAAATGAAATACTCAATTTTTATTGTGATGGTGGTTAGATAACTACATATGTTTGCTAAAACTCAAAGAACTGAACACCTAAAAAGGGTAAATTTTGTGTTCTCAAAAAAGAAAGGTAAAATTTCTGTTTTCAATAAAGAAAGCAGACACTTCTTGTATGTTGGTGGGAGTAAAAATTTGTACAACCTCTTTGGTGGGGGTCAATTCAGTAATATCTATGAAAGGGTAAAGCACGTACATCCTTTGACCCAAGAACTCTACTTCTAGAAATTTAACCTGCTGATATACTCTGCTCATGAATATATAAAAAGATGTATGTATTGGGATGTTTGGTGCAGCATTGTTTGTAATAGCAAAAGACCAAAATTGGCTAAAGTTCCATCAACTGGGGTCTGGATATACAAATCCTACTATATCTATAAAGTAGACATGAAAAAGACTGAGCTAGATCTATGGATGTTGATGCAAACTATCTTCAGAGCAAAAGACCAAAATTGGCTAAAGTTCCATCAACTGGGGTCTGGATATACAAATCCTACTACATCTATAAAGTAGACATGAAAAAGACTGAGCTAGATCTATGGATGTTGATGCAAACTATCTTCAAAATATTACATTATGTGAAGAGCAAAATGTGGAACACCATATACAGCATGTTCCCACTGGGAAAAGACACAGACATCTCTGGAAGGATACAAATGAATCTAGTAACCTTGGGGGAAAGAGCTTGGGGTTCTACAGTGGGATCATGTGTCAGGGGTCCCCAAGACCACCCCAGGTTTGATGATTAACTAGGAGGACCCAGGGGACTCAGCATAAGTCATACTAATGGCCAAGATTTACTACAGTGAGAGGATATGAAGCAAAATCAACAAAGAGGAAAGACAAATCAGGCTAGGTCTGGGGGAAACCAGGCACAAGTTTCCAAGGATCCTCTCCCAGTGGAGTCACACAGGATGCGCTTAATTCCCCCAGCAGTGACTTGCAACAACACATGTGAAATGTCTAGCAGAAGCTCTCCAGAGACCCAATGCCTATGGCTTTCACTGGCAGCCAGGCACATAGGGACTTTCCACACAGCACACACCAATATGCCAGACTCCCAGAGGGAAAGCAGGTGCCCAGCACAAACCACACCACCTGCACAAACAATCCAGGCATGGCAAGGCATCCACATCAGTTCTGAGAATAGTGGGAACCCTTCCTAAATCTAAGGTCCCAGACACCAGCCAAGGGTCGGCTCTGCAAGTAGGTCCCCCAAAGGATAGCAGCCTCACGCCTGCACGTCGACTCCCTTCTGCACAGAGCAATTCTTAAGATATTTTACCAAATGACTTTCCTCACTCCCTCTCTCCATTCTTTCCCTTCCCTTCTTTCTCCTTCCTCGCCTTCCCCTTCCCTTTCTTCCTTCCTTCCTTAATTCCCCAAGCAATTTAAAATTCTTAATAGAAATTTAGAAAAATCCAAAGGCTTCGTGTTGAAGAGGAAAAATTTATGGAGGGTCTCCAGTTTGGAGGACAGTGGCAAGGATGCTAGGAGCTAGGCAGGTGGGCGCTGGGTAAATGGAAGTTGTGCACTGGTGCCTTGATGTTCACTTACAGACTCTGCCCATTCTAGAACACTGCCAGCCTCTCAGCAACCTGATTAGTCCAAGCAGCCACCTCTGGGCTCCCACTCATTCTTTCCAGATCAATGTCATCTCTTCCCTGCTCTTTGGGCAGAATTGTCAGGTCTCACTTGGCCAGGTTTTGGGTGGATTCAAAGCTTTACTGAGAGAGAAATTTGGCACCTCCCCTCAGGTACCTGTGGTGTCATATATCAGTATAAGAGGGAATGGCCTTCTGATAAGTATGGTCAAGCTTCCAAATGTCCACGGTAACTTTGTCACAGATCATCCGGTATCTAAGCATCTGGCTCTCTCTTCAATCATCAGCATATTGTATCTGCACTTTAGATACTTGAGAACTCAATCTTAAATTGATTAGTATCTCATTCCTGCCAAGAATGTGATAGATACAACTAATGTTTCAGAGGGACAGTATAAGGGTCCCCTAAATTTTTTTTCTAAGCATATTTTTTGTACCCATTTAGTGAGGAGGTAGGCAGGAAGGGTTAGAAAAAGGTCCCTGGACCTTGAAGACAGAAGTGTCTTCCAAGAACAAAACTAGTAAGACCAGTACGAAATAGATGACAGTAGGTCCTACCAAAATTACTCACACTTTTTAAAAAAAAAAATGTGTGTTCAGTCTTGAGGCTTGACTATTTCCTCAAATCTAGAATATGACTAAGAAAGTACTGTCCTTCTCAATTATGTATCCTGAATAAAGAAAAAATATGCAAATATGGTGGGGGTGAGGTCATCTGCATGGAGTATAAGGGCAACTAAAAGAATTGTCAGTGTACCTCTAGCATGGTCAGCGGGGAGAAGGTGCCTTGGCCTGTAGACTCCAATATGCCATTTTCCCAAAAGTTCTTTCCAGATAGTAATGAAGAATACCACCTCTGAGATAACCAAACAAACTCCCTCCACTCTGATTCATCCAGCTATCTTACTATGTCGATTTTTCTACAAGGTAAAAAATGAGCTGATCATTGTTAATCAATAAATGGATATTATGTCTCATATGCCCATCTTTTGCATTTTTTGTTCCATAGAATTCTCTCTTATTCTTTCTACTCCATGGCATGAAACAGATTGTTCCTATGAAACCTGGGCTCCTGATAGAAAGCAGAAGCAATGTGGAGACGACAGGAACCACACGTACAGCACAATCTGCATACTTCTTGCTCGCACCCAGGTGGGCTGGTTTCTTATTTACTCAGCCTCACAGAGGCAGGAGAGGTGCAGCCAGACAAGAAAGGCCACTGCAGACAAGTGTGATTCCACATGCTCTCTCTCTTGCAAATACAATAGTGTTCTGAGTGGAGGGAAAAAAGTGTCTCCACCTTAGTAAAATCTCAGGATACCACACTGAAGGAAGCATATATTATGGTACTTGGAAATGATTGCTAAAATAGTTGGAATTCTTTACAGAAATTCCTGAAAACCCAAAGACTAGGGAACACATTGAAGAGAAAATTTTTACTCTACCTTTGGTGAAAATCTTTGTTGCCTAGAACTGACCTCTGGGAATGACACATTCATTGGCAGACCTATTTTTACGGAAGGGATAACTAGCAGAGACAATATTTGGATAACAAAGACAATACTGGGCCTACCCTCCACCCATTCACTCAGGATCAGGTGGGGAGAGGCCACTTTCTCTCTTCTTAGAGCTTTATATGTGCTGGTTTATGAGGGGGTCTTCAAAAACATTCATATTGTCTTTTAATCCTATTTTTCCACAAACATTTTGTTAGTTTTGGCAGCTGGCCAGTAAGAGGATCTGTGTTATCAGCACCATGCCCTAACCAAGTGAGCAAACCGACCATTGCACCACAAACGTTTTTTTGTTTGTTTGTTTGTTTGACCGGTAAGGGGATTGCAACCCTCGGCACGGTGTCGTCCGTACCACACTCAGCCAGTGAGCGCACCGGCCATCCCTATATAAGATCCAAACTCGCCCCTCAGAGCTACCAGCACTGCACCCTCCCGAGTGAGCCACGTGGCCGGCCCGCACCACAAACGTTTTGAAGTACCCTTGTATTCCACTTGACTCACCTTCACTTCTCTCCCTCTAGCATCCTTGGTGAGCTGATCCATGCCACACCAGTTCTTTATATACTTCCTCTAACTTTTTTTTTCTCCTTACACTATGTGCGTTCCTAAACTCCACCTCCCCACAACCCACTCACTCCTCAACCCATTGCACCTGGCTTCTGCCCCACTATTCTACTAAAGCCACTGACACAAATATCACCACAACCTCCTAGTGCCAAATCCAATAGACACATCTCAATATTTACATTTCCTATAAAATTTGACACTCCTGAATTCTTACTTCTTAAACTTTCTCCTTTGTTGGCTCCAGTGACACCAGGCTCTTCTAGTAACCCTCCTATTTCTCTGACCCCTACCTTGCTGGCCCCTCTTTAGCCCATACCCTTTAAATACGAATGTTCCGCAGTGCTCCATCTTGGGACCATGGTTCATCTCATTTCATATACCTATACCCAAATGAATGGCAATGGCCTCTTAATCTCTATGGGAATGACTCCCTACACTCTATGAAGACAACCCCCTAATCTCTATAAGGATGATGTCCTAAACTCTGTTATGACAACTCCCTAGTCTTTATGGCCATGATTCCCTGACCTGTATTTCCAGCCCAGGCTTTTCTCTTGATCTCCAGATTCATAATGATAGTCACCTACTGGACACATCTGCTTGGATGTTCTACAAACAAACTCACCATGTCTAAAATTTAACTCCCCCCCCTAAATTAATCTCTCTGCATAATTTGCTCAATAAAGGTCAACACCTCCCCTCACCAATCTTTCTAGATTCCCTCTTCTCCCTCCAAACTCCAAGATTCGTTGATTCTACCTCAAATTCATTCATTTCTCTCATTTCTGCCCTGGACTCTTATAACAGCTTCTGTAGAGGCCTCCTCACCTCTAGGCTCTTCCCCTTCCCATCTTCTACTTTGGTCACCCTAAAAATGCAAAACTTATTATGTGATCCTACCAGTATGAAGTTCTTCAATGATGCCCATGGCCCCTCAAAATAAAAGCCAAACTCTTAAACAATTTTAAGCCCATGCTAACCATCTTGCCACACGATCCAGGAGTAGGTTAAGGTGTTAGTCTCTAAATGTCCCTTCTTTTTCATATTCTTATGCCTTGTAAAAATGTCCCTGCTTCTTTCTTCTGCCCAAAACACTCTTCTTTCCTCTCTTCTTTATCTAACTAACTCTACCTTATGAGGAAATTGAGGCTCAGGATAATCAGGAAGTCTCCTGAAAGCTCTTGCCCTTCTCTAATGATGGATTAAACACCCTCCTTTGTATCCCTCTCATAGATAGCACCCCTCCCACAATGCTGTAATAGCCTTTAATCTGTGTCAGTCTCCTCTATGAGACTGAGTACCTGAAGAACAGGGTGTACCTTTTACCTCTCCAGAGCCCAGCAAAGAGTCCCATCTATAACAGTGTTCCACATGGCAGCTGAATAAATGAATGGATGAGATCGATTTGAATTTTTAGTACACAATGTTTTCCATTAAAAAGGAGGGGGGATTTATTTGACTAGTTTGAATGTGTTTTAATTTCTCAGTTCCATGGTTCTGACTATTTTTAGTGAGCTCAACTTCAGTTTGTGTGTTTTGTAGGCAGCAAGGGGACAGCTGTTTGGGAAGTAAATCCCAAATCTGGATCCCAGAGCTTAGTCATAAACTCATGGGATTTTTTTTTTCACTGAGCTACCAAGAATAATAGACTCAAATGCCATATTTACAAGTGAAGGAACTACACATTTAACTGATCATTCCTCAGCAAACATGGTTAACTCTACACTGTATCTGAGAATCAGTCGTTCTGATGAAGGAGAATCAGTATGATCAGGTAATCACGTATCTCCTTATTTATGACTATGTTAACAATCCTCTGAGATGGAATCACAACCCTGCTTCTTACTAGCTGTGTGACTTGGGCAAGTTTTTTAACCTTTCTATACCTTTATTTTCTATACTGAAATTTTAAGGACATCACTTACTTTGGTAACTTGATGTGAAGATGTAGTGAGTTCTGTATGAAAAAAGTGATTAGAGTGATCCCACCCAGCCCCATGGCCTCAGATACTGTCCATATGTGAGAAATACAATACTCTATATTTAGCCCAATTGCAGCCAAAGGGATCTTTTCAAGGTGTCTATATGATCACTTCACCCACGAGTTACTTCGAACACTTCATAGCTTCCCATTACTCCTAGAATTACACATCCTTAATGTAGCTTGTAGGTCCTGCATGTCCTGCCTGCTTCCCAGGTCTCCAACCTCTCTTACCACCACCTTGCCTTCACTCTTTGCCCCCTTTTAGCTCTCACTTTACCATGCCGTCCCCGTCACAGGGTTCCAGCACAATTTATTTGTTCTGTCCGGAACATTCTCCTCCCACCCTCTTTGCTTTCCTTTTTTCTTTTTTTTTTTTTTAACTTGTTCACTTTATTTTATTTTATTGTAACATAGTTGATTGTACATTTCTGTGGGGAACAGAGTTGAATATCATTTCCTGTGTGCAATACATGATGCTCAAATCAGGATAATTAGTATATTCAACATTATACAATGCAGTTGCCTTCAGATCCCAGCTAAAAGTCAGAAACCACTTCCTGAACCCCACACTGGCTGGTGCCCTTCACAGCACTCTAAGCTTTTTCTTCATAGCACTCAAGGCTATTGTAATTAATTATCTGCATGTATAAGTCACAGACCAGTCCTTCTGAATTCTGGCGGTACATTATATTCACTGGAGAATTTTGTAAAAATACCAACTGTCCCACCCCAAACCAATTAAACCAGAATCCCTGGAGGTGGAGCCTGGGCATTGGCATTCTTTATGGCTCCCCGGTACATCTGATGTAGTTTGCAAACCACTAGTTAGGAGGACAAGGACCATGGCTGCTTATCCAAGACTTTATCCCTGATGCCAAGCACACAACAGTGTCTACAGAGACTAGGCACTCGGTAAGTGATAACTGTAGTTAAGATTGTTGTTGCTCTTGTTGTTATGGTCAATACAGTTATGATTAACAAGATCATTAAGCCACATGACTTTTTTCAACATTTTTTGCCTCTGTGATTTTTTACCATGTAACTCTAAGAATATAAAGCTGTAGCAGTGACATCAGCTTTTTAAAATTCAATGAGCTTCTATTTTCCTTTCAACAAAGAGCTTCAATTAAGGATTGAACAGAACCTACTAAACACAATATTGTCACAAGTCACATCTCCAAGGTGAAACAAAATACAACATTATTTTAAAAATCCAATCATATCGTACAATTACTTTTTAATGTATTTATTAGTAATTACAGTCATTTCAATAATGGCTTTCTAATTTTGTAATAACATGAATTGGATTGGCCACTGCTTTGTCATTCTGATTCTATTTGATTTTAGTATTCTCTGTTAGTTTTTCTCTCCTGTCACATGACCTATCCTACCAAGTAAATGTCCACACACTCACACACACACCCCATCGCATCCCACCTGCCGCCCCAGTTCAGTGGTTAGGACTGAAGTCTCTTCTGCTTGGAGTTTTCCCGTTCAGCCCTGTGTCACAGGGCAGGCCCTGGACAACTTTAGAGAACCATCGGAACACATATTTTTTCTAATCCAGTTCTCAACCATAAACCTGCATAAAAATCATCTGAAAGGCTTGTTAAAACACAAGTCGCTGGACCCCATCATCAGGGTTTTTGATTCAGTAAATCTGAGGGGAGGCCAGAGAATTTGCATTGCTAACAAGTTGCCAGGTGACGCTACTGCTGCTGCTACTGGTAGTCCAGGGACTACACTTCGAAAAACCACTGCTTTATTTTTTTAGTTTTAGTTTTTTGACTGCAAATACTTCACTTTTTTCCCCCTCTCTTTAATGTGCTTAGAATTAGAGATAAGCTTGAAAGATGCCAGCAGGGCCTGTTAAAAGCCTGTAAAAACAATAGAGGAAGATTACACAGCTGGAAAAAACTGTCTCAACACGAAAACCACTGCTCTAATTCATAATGCACTGTAGTTAATGGCTGATTAAAAGAGAGAGAAGAGCAGTTGTGAGGTCTTTTAGGGTACAATGGGTAAAGACTACCCAATTTATTCTTTTATATTAAAATACAACCATGGGCATTTTTCTCATTATTTCAGAGGGATTTTCTCTGCTCTATTTTTGTAAACAATCCAATGTATCCCATCCATACTTCTCCTTTTATAAGGAAGAGACTGTGAAGGTACGTGGGGGCAGCCTCCTCCAGTCTATTCCTTAGCAGGCAATTCCTTCAGTCACCTCTAGGCTACTTTTTGAAGGCAGGTCTTGTTCACCATCCCTGAAGCCAGCCAGTTTAGTGAAATCCCTTAACACAATGTTGGAAGGGAGGTTGAAATAACAGTGAGGGAATTGCTACAAAGCTCTTCAAAATCACTTTAGGAGGTTTCAGCTGGAGTTAGGAGGCAGTGGTGAGATAAGAAATTCAAGGCACCCCAAAGAAAGCATACTGAGCCCAAGACCAACACCCTGGCAAGATGCTGCGTGCTATGGTTTGAATGTGTCTCTCCTCCAAAATCCATGTTTGACCTTAATCCCCAGTGTACCAATATTAAGAGGTGGAGCCTTTAAGAGGTGATTGGGTCATGAGATTTCTGCCCTCATGAATGGATTAATGAGTTATCACACGAGTGCGTTTATTATTAAAGCCAGTTTGGCTCTCTCTCATGTGCCCCTTTTGCCCTGCGATGCCTTCTGCCATGTTATGATGCAGAACAGCACGAAGCCCTTCAGAAGTGTCCAGAACCGTAAGCCAAAATAAACCTCTTTTCTCTATAAATTACCCAGTCTCAGGTATTCTATTATAGCAACAGAAAACGGACTAAAACACTGGGCATCCAAGCAACGCACTATCATTGGAATAAACCACTAGAGTGAATGTCACATTTTAGCCGTCACTACACCAAAGCGATGCATTCAGATATATGCACAGTACATCTTTACTCTGCAAATGGGGTGACTAGGATAACAAAAGGTTTCCTGTGCTGCCCTCATTTAGGGGACTATGGGACACTCTTAGAATGACCAACCATCCCAGTTTGCCCAGGACTGTCCTGGTTTTAACATTGAAAGTCCAGCCTCCTAAGAAACCTCTCAGTCCCAGGCAAACCAGGATAGTTTGTCACCCCAGCTGTCAGATGGACACCCCCATCTCCCTTAGTCATGCTTTCTCTTCCTGGTACCACTCCTACTCAGCCTCACTTCCACCCTTTTCTCAATTATGCAGGCACCCTCTCTTCTAGGCTGCACTCTCTCCTGGTAAGCTCTGGCAATTTTAGTCTCTCTCTTAAGCAATTCTCTTTTCTCCCATGAGCTCAGTTTTGTGCCTGACTTCAGTCATCTTCAGGCTTTCCACCATTCTGACTTTTTAAATATCTCATGATTGTGATTTGTCTTTTTCAGATCGAAAACATCTCGAAGTCAAAATCGTCCTTAGAGTTCACTCACTCCAGAGGTTCCCAGCCTTGACAGCACAGGAGAATCACCTGGGGACTTTTCCCAGTCCCACACAGAACAGTTGCATCAAACTCTCTGGGGGTGGGGCCCAGGCCTGGGGCATTTTAATGCCCTCCAGTTGATTCTAATGTACAGCCAAGGTTGTAAACCTCTGACCTAGTCCAACTCCTCCAAGTGGCAAATCTGCTTCTACAGAATTTTTGAAAGCTGGGTATTTAACCTCTGCAGTAAAATTCTCCACTGATGGCAAAGTGCATTTCCATGTAGTCCAGGCCATTGCAGACATCTTTAATTGTTAGGAAGCTCTTATCTTGACCCAAGTTTTGTTTCATTCTAATTTCCATCCACTGCTCCCAGCACTAAACTATGAAGCAACTTAGAATATGTTTACTTCATCTTCATTAAAAAAATGTTTTTCAAATCCTCAAAGGCAGCCAGTATATAAACCCTGTCCTCAAGTCTCCTGTTCTCCTGGCTAAATAACTCCAGTTCCATTAGCCGT